TTATAATGCTTTAGGAATATAATTGGGTGGGGTTTGTGCTCGGTTTTCACCAGCTTGACATATGTTCTAGTTGTAAATGGGTTGCAATTTATAACTTTCTCTAAAAGCGGCATGCACAATAGCTGAATATGCACTAGGTGCTGCCTAAATCTGAGCTCGTAAAGAAGGTGACAATTCAGTTTGATCTTGAATCGCACATGATCACTAAACTATGTACGGAAGTCAGTCACACATTAGTCAGGCAATCGATATGTGCTAGGTTCCTGTACATTTGATGGCTATGTTCTTTAAACCCACTGTACAGATCAATCAAATATAGAAGCAACAAGAGAAATAATATTTAAATCAGTATTCATGGTACAGCTTGGCATATTAAAACTCCATTGGCAAGAAAATATTCAAAATTGGGTGTATGTGTTAGTGAGTTTTAGGGAAAGCTAGAAGATGTTTCCTGTATTACCATATGCACTAGATAACGCTGGCATGCCTCAAGGACCAAGAATGTCATTCTGTGACTTGAATTCTAACAGCTTTGACAGTACTGCAAATATTGGCTGACTTGTTCTTTTGTGTAGAGTACGCTCAGAGCAAAATGCATATTCTTTTTTAGAATTCATGTTCCGATTATAAATGGGGGTAGGTGTCGTTGTTAACATACATACTGTACAGAGTATTGTATCGATATACTAGTTTTTCAGAGATGAAAACATTATAAAAAAATTATCTATGAGTATATAGAGTATAATCAGTGGCTGCCACTGATCACATATCTGGAGATAAAAATATGGGCCACAGCAAAAGCCTGTAGTGCAGTACAATCAAATAGAGAGAGCTGCACTCATGGGGTCTTGAGAGGTGGGTGAGATACAGTGAAGATTGTATTTTGCAAATTTGGAATAAGCTCGTTCTTCTTTAGGTCCAGGGAGCAGATGCTGACTTGACAACTCATGGGGCCCCCGGTGCAATAAGGGGATCATGGGTGGCCCCTGTGTCCTTGCCTAACTCAAAAAATTCCTGATGAAAATGGTAACCAGGGGCATCTTATGGGGCCACTACTGCATCAGGGCCCTCAGCCAGTGCCCGAGCGAGTTTCCAAATGGTCAGTCCGTCTCTGCACATAGCCCCAATTGCTATTGAGTTTCTCTCTATGGGATACTTGGGCTAAATGTAATTATACAGTGTGTACATTACTTGTCAGAATATTCTCTATACAACGGGAAAAAAAAAGGGATACACTCCTGGTGTAGATTTATTGGAAACATTTACAAGGTGCATACAACAAGGATTGGCCTATTCTGCAGGCTGCAAGCACATCTGAAAAGGTCAAAGAGAGTAAACCATGTAAGCTTAAGAGACTGTAAACTTATCATATCTTGCCATAGTATTTACTTTAAAACATAACTGTCAAAGATTGTCCTAACAAAAGCGAAAAGAAGACAGCAAGTAATAAAGAAACAGGGTAAACAATAAGTTAGCTACTGAGGCAAAAAAAAAAACATAATAAACAAGTGTATTTATCCATTTAGAGCTAAAAGATCTGCTCAGAGAATATCCTAAAACCATCGCCAAAACTACTAAATTGCACAAGAGATAAGGGATACCTAGACTATAACACAAACAGAAAACAAGGGCAAGTCAGAGCAAACATTAAGTCCTCTACACTTGTGACATCATTGCGGACTACATTGGTGACATCTGTGAAAGATCACAGAAGGTCACATGATTACAAGGCTATTCACAACTAGCTGGTACCATGTGGACCAAGCAGTGTGATCCGCTCAATGTAGTTTTCAATGGCTGCAAGCATGCAGACAGGCGAGCAAGAGAAATGATTGCTTTTTTATTTTTTTTTTTTTTTTTTTTTTTTTTTTTTTTTTTAATTATTTTTTATTTTTGTTTTTTTTTTTTTTTTTTAGTTTTATTTTTTTTTTTTTTTTTTTTTTTTTATTTTTTTTTTTATGGCTTTTTTTTTTTTTTTTTTTTATTTTTTTTTTTATTTTATTTTTTTTTATTTATTATTTTTTTTTTTTTTTTTTTTTTTTTTTTTTATTTTTTTTATTTTATTTTTTTTTTTTTTTATATTTTTTATTTTTTTATTTTTATTTTTTTAATTTAATTTATTTTTTTTTTTTTATTTTTTTGCTTTTTTTTTCTATTTATTTTTTTTCTCCCTTCATTTTTATTTTTTTAGGAATTTATTTATTTTTTTTCATTTTTTATTTTATTTATTTTTTTTTTATTTTTTTGTGCTCTTTTATATTTTTTTTTTTTTTATTATTTTTTTTTTTTTTTTTTTTTTTTTTTTTTTTTTTTTCATATACAAAGTGGAAGATCTATATGGGTGTCAGGCCTGGGACCTGGCCACGAAATGGAGGGGCACTCACATGCCTTATGAGCTGCTAGTACCAGGGCTTGGCCAGGCGGGTGCTACCAGCACTCAGAGATCAACCTTGCAGCTCAGCAAAACACCTGAAACTGCTTTATATGCGGGTTGCGATTTAAGGGATGGCAAGACCTGCAGGACTCAGCCTTGGGTTGTTATGTTGTTCTGGGCCCTGTATCTGTTCCTGCTTTTGTGTTTCTGTTCAGGGTTCCGTATTTTCTGTCTGTTTTGGTGTGTGTGACCCGGCCTGATCTATACCTACTGCTGAATTCTCCTGCTCTGTGACCCGTTCTCGATCCTGGACCATTGTCCTTCTGCTGACACTCTCTGTCCCACTCGCTGCCGCTGCTACCTGCTGACCTGGCTTGTGACCCCTGACATTCTGCCGCTTGCTCCCCCTGTACCTACCTGGTCGCGATTGATATTGGACCCGGCTGCCTGATCGAGCGTCGCAGTGATTGTACCTGTTATCCTGTGGGGTGGTTGGTAGGGTTTGTTTGCATGTACCTTACCTGCTTCTCAGCTAACCTGCACCACGCGTTTCTATGTTTGCCTTATTGTGTTTAGCTCCGCACCTCCATCACCCCCCCACCGTACTTGCCCTGTATAACATGATGCTGAAGTCGGCGTTTCCCCTGAGTCAGTCACCACCACTCTGGTCATAACCCTGGGAGCTTCCTGGGACATTACACCAAGTGGCATCCTGACCAGAAGTGGCTGCACAGGGAAAGCCGATCTTTGGTTTGTAGTGATGGGAAAGGATGGATCTTGCCTGAGGTTACGTAATGTATCATCTGCTAGTGATTCGATGAGTTGGGAGTTAGGCTTAGCAACTCTGAAGGCGAGTAATACCGGATGAACGGCTAGTAATGTATACGGCTCGTCATGTTTAGATAGATCAGGGCAACAGAGTTTCTCTGAGGTGCAGCCATTGATTGAGGTTTGTGCTGATTTGGTTGTGCATTCGTGGTACCCGCCGGAATGCTAGGGATGAATTTTTGGCCACCATTTAGTGCAGACCAGGTAGAGAGTCCTGGTGTGGTTATTAGAGGATGATGTGGGTTACTTTCGGGAGAGTTAGTTCCACATGTTCACCACCTGACACTAAGAGATTGTATAACGCAGGTGCAGTCTGCTGTGGTCACGACAGGCTTTGTGTAAGCTGCTGCTTTGTTCAACCGCCATACTGCATGACATGGACAGATTTGTTACGACCCAGCCTCCTAGTCAGCTTACAAAGAACCAGTCCTGCTTCTGAATCTATTTCCAAGTCATAGCTTACTCGGTATTCCCATCAACTGCTCAGTTAACAGCCCAGTATACTTGTGCTATGTCTACCGCAATGTCAGTACCATGGTTCCCACTCGCTGCACTCTATCCTGCCTTTATACACCTGGTAGAAAGATGCTCCTCTGTAGTGATGCTGTGTCCATCATCCACGCTATTCTCTGTCTCAGACTGCTCCATTCATTTGCAGCTGACCAGTCGGTTTGTACTTGCAGTTGCCCCAGTAGTTAAAAACCAGTAGAAAAAAGCGGGACATTGCTTTCCCACCGTATGCCATCATGCCAGTATTCCAAACGCGTGAGCACTACCTACGAGGAACCTGCCTTCCGTTGGTTCCGCCTGTGATGCCTCTCTTCAGCATGACAGCCTCAACTCAGCTGACTGAAGCCTCTTACTCAGCCTGAAGCCTCTACTCATGCCTGAAGCCTCTACTCAGCCTGGATTGCTTATTACCCAGCATAATGAAACTGATCCAGATGATGATCTATGTAGGTCCAGTTGACTCTGTTGCCAGCTGTTGATCCAGATGATCCGGTACCTGATCCCGGTTGCCCGCTGTCGTGCCAACTTTGACTCAGACGCTCCGCTGTCGTTACTGGGTGACGCAGTGCCCATCTGCTTTGCAGTAGTGACGCGTGTGGCCCGCTTGGCGCGCATAAAATGACCTGATGGCCTGGTGTCCCAGTGCCACGCTGTCTTAACCTTGGTGGACCCGATGCCGCAGTCTTGCCAGGACGACTCGGTGCCGCAGTCAGTCTTGCAAGACGGACTTGGTGCCCGCTGTTCCGCCAGACGACTCGGTGCCCGCAGTCTTGCCAGACGACTCGGTGCCGCGCAGTCTTGCCGCGGACGACTCGGTGCCCGCTGTTCCGCCAGTTGACTCGATGCCCAGCTGTTCCGCCAGTGACTCGGTGCCGCAGTCTTGCCAGACGACTCGGTGCCCGCAGTCTTGCCAGACGACTCGGTGCCGCTGTTTGCCAGTTGACTCGATGCCCGCTGTTCCGCAGACGACTCGGTGCCCGCAGTCTTGCCAGTAGGGACTCGGTTGCCCGCAGCCTTGCCAAGACGACTCGGTGCCCGCAGTCTTGCCAGACGACTTCGGTGCCGCAGTTTGAGACGACTCGGTGCCCGCTTGTTCCGCCAGACGACTCGGTGCCCGCAGTCTTGCCAGACGACTCGGTGCCCGCAGTCTTGCCAGACGACTCGGTGCCCGCTGTTTCCGCCATTGAACTCGGTTGCCCGCAGTCTTGCCAGACGACTCGGTGCCCGCAGTCTTGCCAGACTTGTCGGTGCCCGCTGTTCGCAGACGACTCGGTGCCCGCAGTCTTGCCCAGACGACTCGGTGCCCGCAGTCTTGCAGGACGACTCGAAGCCCGCTGTTCCGCCAGTTGACTCGGTTGCCCGCAGTCTTGCCAGACGACTCGGTGCCTGCAGTCTTGCCAGACGACTCGAAGCCGCTGTTCCGGCAGTTGGCTCGGTGCCCGCAGTCTTGCCAGTTGACTCGGTGCCCGCAGTCTTGCCAGTTGACTCGGAAGCCATGTCGTGCCATGGTGACTCGGTGCCCGCCGCTCCGCCTGGGGGCCCGAGACCTGTCGCTCCGCATGGGGGTCCGGCCTTGCTGTCGCCTGCTCCACCTGGGGGTCCGGCGCCCCGCCGCTCCGCCTGGGGGCCTGAGACCTGTCGCTCCGCCTGGGGGCCCTGAGACCTGTCGCTCGCCTGGGGGGCCTGAGGCCTGGGGGGGTCCGGCGCCCGCCGCTCTGCCAGGGTGCCCGAGACCTGTCGCTCCGCCTGGGGGTCCGGCGCCCGCCCGCTCCCGCCTGGGGGCCGATGCCTGTCTCGCCCCGCCTGGGGGCCCGATGCTGTCGCCCGCCTGGGGGCCCGATGCCTGTCGCCTCTCCTGGGGGCCCGCAGCGCGCCCGCCCCAGATGTCGCTCCCCCTGGGGGCCGATGCCTGTCGCCCCGCCTGGGGGGCCCGATGCCATGTCGCCCCGCCTGGGGGCCCGATGGCCTGTCACCCGCCTTGGGGGCCCGGTGCCTGCTGCTGCACGCCTGGTGGCCCGGTGCCTGCTGCTCTGCCTGGTGGCCCGGTGCCTGCTGCTCGCCTGGTGGCCCGCTGCCTGCTGCGTCGCTGGTGATCCGATGTGCCTCTGCCCGGAGTCCTGCCCGATGTGCCTCTGCCCGGAGTCCTGCCCGATGTGCCTCTGCCCGGAGTCCAGCCCGATGTGCCTCTGCCCGGAGTCCAGCCCGATGTGCCTCTGCCCGGAGTCCTGCCTGATGTGCCTCTGCCCGGAGAGTCCAGCTACCGATGTGCCTCTGCCGGAGTCCAGCCCGATGTGCCTCAGCCCGGGAGTCTTGCCAGGAGTCCCGATGTGCCTCTGCCATAGGAGTCCAGCCCGATGTGCCTCTGCCTGGAGTCCAGCCCGATGTGCCGTCTGCCCGGAGTCCTGCCCGATGTGCCTTGCCCAGAGTCCGGCCCGATGTGCCACTGTGCCCGGAAGTCCTGCCCGGTGTGCCTCTTCCCGGTGTGCCGCTGCCCGATGTGCCGCTGCCCGGAGTCCTGCCCGATGTGCCGCTGCCCGGAGTCCCTGCCGCCGGTGGGCCAGGATCTTCTGATATCCCTGCCAGTTACCAGACCCCGGGCGGTGGGAACATTTTGCCACCAGCTAGGACTGTTTGGAGCGTCCTGAGGGTGGCCGCTCCTTGAGGGGGGGGTACTGTCAGGAATGGACTGGCCAGCAAATGGTGGGGGACTCACCTGCCTTATGAGCTGCAGTACCCTAGGGCTGGCCAGGGGTGCTCCCAGCAATCAGAGACTCAACCTTGCAGCCAGCAAAACACCTGAAACTGCTTATGCTGGTGGTATTTAAGGGATGGCCAGACCTGCAGACTCTGCCTTGGTGTATGTTTTTCCTGGGGCCCTGTATCCTGTTTCCTGCTTCCTGTTTCTGTTCCTGTTCCTATTCCTGTTCCTGTCTTGTTGCTGACCCGGCTGTGATCTATACCTCTGCGCTGACTTCTCCTGCTCTGACCCCTGGCTCGTTCCTGTTGGACCATCCCTTTGCCTGACACTCTGTACCACGCTGCCCGCCGTACCGCAGATGCTGACCTGGCTTGTGACCCGACCATTCAACCCGCTTGCTCCCCCTGTACCTACCTGCCCGATTGATATTGACCCGGCCTGCCTGACGACGCTCGCATTGTATGTACTGTTATCTGTGGAGTGTGTTGGTTGGTTTGTTTGCACTGTATTATGTTTAGTATTGGCACTGGTTTATGTTTGTATTTGTTAGTGTTAATATAAATCGTATTGTTTATAACATATCTGAAGTCTGCGTTTCCCTGCGTCAGTCACACACCTATGGTCATACCCGGGAGCCTGACAATGGGTGTAAAAGCAATCACTGTAAAAAAAAAAAAATTCTCATTATCACCCCCCACAAGTAGTACAGTGTCACCATGGTGACACTTGTACTGCTAGTAGGGTGACAGTATGTAAAAAAAACCATAAATAAAAAATAAAATAAAAAAAAAACCATAAAATAAAATAAAAATGTAAAATGTATTAATTTTCTCCAGCAGGGCAAACATTTTTTCCTGATCCAAGGATCAGGCAATCGGACATTCCCTGGGATCATCCTTACCTATACATATTAGTATCCAGTTATATTGTGTACATTGAGGAAATAATTCATGGCCTTTTTTTTAAAACACAATCTACTGAGCTGACCAGAACCAGCTCTTGAGGGAGTCTATTCCACATGTTCACAATTCGTACCGTGAAGATGCCTTTCCATATTTGGGAAATTAAATCTCTTTTCTTTTTTTTTCAAGTTTTGGAGAGAGTGTTGAAGGATTAGAATGCCTGTCAGTTTTTATTCCGGTCTGTGCCTCGTTATCATTGAAAATTAAAGTAAAAGAAAATCCCACATTTTGGGTTGTCCGTGGAAAAGTAATAGTGGGGAAATCTTCCAATGAGAACACTGGTTCTGGTGACCTGTGGAATTGCATGGATTTCCTCTCACTTCCTGTTTGGCTATGGAACAGGGAGTGAAGGGAAATTTCCACAATGGGACACGGATGGCAAAAAGCATCTGACAGGGATTATAACCCTCCCTTGCTCTATCCAAAATGAAAAAGAAAGGTTTTGCCTATAGTTCTACGTTTAAGCCCCCAATCTACTTGATGCCAATTAACACATTCCCTTTCTTGAATATTTTGACCTTAGATCATGATGATAGTGGAAAAACAACCTGGATCAAGATACAAGACAATGACTTGACCTCTCCATTAAAGGGGAACTATCCATTTTTTCTTCTTTATTCCCCTGCATACCTATCATTTTCCTATTTCTACTCTCCTTCTCTTTCTTCTATGTTTATAACTACAGAGCATTGGCTCCCAGACCTACATGAGAAGTCATCACTCTCTCTTTCCCCCTCTCTTTGGCAACCTAATGCTAACACTACCCCACGACCCTAGCCCTCTGCCTGGTCTGGACATAACTGACCCAAACTAACTAAAGAGAAGGCCGTGAAAATTATCATCCAATGTAAGTCAACCACATTCTAGACTAACACATACAATAGGTGAGTATGTGTCAGGGATGCGGGTATGACCAGAGGTGTGTGGACTGACACAGGGGAAACACAGGCTCCAGATATGGTATAAATAAGACAATTTATTAAGACTAACAATACAAACACAAACGCAGTTTGCACCAAACCCCAAGCTAACACAAATACATACAACAAGGTGAAAACAAACCTAAACCTAAACTGGTATAGATACACAGGTACATACACATATAGAGCACAACGTAGTCAGGCAAGCGGGTCGATAACTATCGGGCAGGTAGGTACAGGAGGAGCAGGCGGAGAGTAGTCAGGGTCACAAGCCAGGGATCAAACAGGAGAAGTCAGCAGAGGTCAGGATCAGGCAGGGTCGGCAACAAGTCAGGCAGAAACAGGAACAGGAACAGGAATGCAGGTTACTAGATACAGGGGCCCATGGAAAAAAACACACACCAAGGCCCTGACTGTGAGTCTGGATATCCCTTAAATACACCACCTGCAATCAGCCCCAGGTGTGATGGTTAATTGCTGAAGTGAACCTCTGGTTGTTGATAGCACCCGCTGGCCAGCCCTGGTACTGCAGCCCACAAGGCAGGTCAGTCCCACCCACTATTGGCAATTCCATTCCTGACAGTATGCTATGTTCAATAGAGAGGTAACTTGTCTAATTCCCCTCTCTATCTGTATCTGTAATACAAAGGCCTTAGAAACAGATAATATAATCTCCTAGATCAAAGGACTAAAATACTCTGTAAATACGGTACTTTGCCAAATGGCCCCTTTTTGGTCCAGGGACAGTAGTGGTAGTGGTGGATATATATGGCAGGGGTTAAGCATTGGCAATATCAGTTTCGCCTTCTGGGTGCATAGTTTAAGTTTTTTTTGTTTCTGTGATGAGCAGTGGATGTCTGTGTTAGAGGGAAAGACAGTATGCAGGCTAAGCAAACTGCAGGTCTAAGTTGTGGGAGGGTGACTATGATAAATACTGGACTGAGCTGACACAGATCCATGTAATGGTAACCTTATGCTTTGTGTTTGATGCAAAGGACAAAAAGCACTTAAATGCATTGTGACATTTGGACAACTTCTTTGCTCACTCTACATTTTTAAAGCTGACCCATACAATTAGCGTAGGTATTCAAAAGGCAAAAGTGGAACTTGCTTTTCAGATCTCTGCTGAAAATGGGTTTTCCTGGGTGGCTTATTGTGACATATTGAAGCAGAGCATGATACCTTCCCTTCGGAGACTAGGCCGCAGGGCAGTATTCCAACATGTTAACGACCCCAAACACTTCCAAGACGACCACTGCCTTGCTAAAGAAGCTGAGGGTAAAGGTGGTGGACCGGCCAAGCATGTCTCCAGACCTAAACCCTATTGAGCATCTGTGGGGCATCCTCAAATGGAAGGTGGAGGAGCGCAAGGTCTCTAATATCCACCAGCTCCGTGATGTCGTCATGGAGGAGTGGAAGAGGACTCCAGTGGCAACCTGTGAAGCTCTGGTGAACTCCATGCCCAAGAGGGTTAAGGCAGTGCTGGAAAATAATGGTAGCCACAGAAAATATTGACAGTTTGAGCCCGATTTGGACATTTTTCACTTAGGGGTGTACTCACTTTTGTTGCCAGTTGTTTAGACATTAATGGTTTTGTGTTGAGTTATTTTAAGGGGACAGCAATTTTACATGTTATAGAAGCTGTACACTCACTACTTTACATTGTAGCAAAGTTTAATTTCTTCAGTGTTGTCACATGAAAAGATTGAATAAAATATTTACAAAAATGTGAGGGGTGCACTCACTTCTGTGATATACTATATGTTATGGGACTGTTATTTCACCATTTATGTGATGCTCATTGTTTATTATGATTAATATGAGTTAACTTATTTTTTTTTCACACACATATTTTGTACTGATCACTACAGAGCTATTGGTTGTGCTCAACTTTTAGTTTCATTGTTAAGATTCTGCATTGACTAGAAAAAATTAATTAAAAATATCAAAGTTTGATGTTTACCCCATACAAAGGGTTGACAAACTCTTTGCAAGGCTGGGTCTCATGAGCTTACTAGGGGATATTTTCAGGTACAATGAATGGCCAAGGTCAAAGAACGAAGCC